GTGATTAGGACAAAAAAAAGGTGCTTGGGTAGGAGAAAAAAGAAAGAGCGGCCGCCGGCGAGAGAGGCGGAGGGGAAAAGAAAGGTGCGGCCTTTCTTGCCTAAAATTCCAGCGGCGGAGGCGAATCCAAGGAGGAGGAGGAGGAGGGAGCCGCCCCTGCCCAGCTAAATGCTCGTCGTTCGCCTCCCCGATCGCCATTTCCTCCCTTCCGCGCGAGAGATTCGTCCTCTGATGCAGGCCGGCGCCTCGTGGAGCAAGGGCCTCCCCGGCCTGCGGAGCCACCTCTGCGTCGCGGCGTCGTTCCACTCGACGCCCCCCTCGCCCGCCAAGTGGAAGGGCAAGTTCGATTGCAAGGTCCGGCCGCCTGAATCTCCCCCCTCTTTTCCCATTTCCAGCGAATCCTTCCACGACCTAGTAGGTAGCTAGCTACTGCGGATGCTTGTGGTTAATAATCAGTGGATGGAAAATAGATCGATCAAACTTGGCAACAGTTTGGTGATCACTCGCTGTTATCTTTCGTGTCCATACAAACTGTTCAATTGGAAGCTGTAGTGGATGAACATTTTAGTAGATAGATGGTGCTGGTAGATGCTGATTTCTTCCGCAACAAATAGTTTTGAGTTCTGAGGATAAGCATTCAGACACGATTCTAGGTGGACTGACACTTGAATGCCAAAGTCTGAATCATGGACCACAAACTTCTTGATTGGTTTCGGCCGATGGTTTCAAGTGGGATAAGCATGAACCACTGGAAACGACCTTCCACTATTGAACAAATATTGAACAAATATTGAAGAAGAAGCTTCCAAAGGATAATGAATTGCCCGACAGTACATACACAACAAAGAAGGTCTAGAGGGCATACGACCCTCTTTGCTGCGTATGTACTGTCGGGCAATTCGTTATCCTTTGGAAACTTCTTCTTCAATATTTTCAGTAGCTTCTCAAATCCTTTGTTAGGCACAGCATTCTCTGCCTTCCACTGCAGCAATTCCAGTACGGTACCGAGCTTTGTGTTGCCATCTTCGCAATTGGGGTACAACCCTTTTTTGTGATCCTCTAACATGTGATCGAACTTCAGCTTCTCCTTTTGACTTTCGCATTGCGTCCTTGCATCGACAATGACCCGGCGGAGATCATCATCATCGGGCACATTGTCTGGTTCCTCATGATCTTCAGCAGCTTCCCCCGTTGCAGCATCATTGGGCACATCGTCTAGTTCCTCTTGATCTTCAGCAACTTCCCCCGTTGCAGCATCACCGTATTCAGGGGGCACACAGTTGTCGTTGTCCTCTTCTTCTTCACCGTCTTCCATCATAACCCCTATTTCTCCGTGCCTCGTCCAAACATTATAGTGTGGCATGAAACCATTGTAAAGCAGGTGGGTGTGAAGGATTTTCCGGTCAGAGTAAGACTTCGTATTCCCACATTTAGGGCATGGACAACACATAAAACCATTCTGCTTGTTTGCCTCAGCCATTTCGAGAAAATCATGCACGCCCTTAATGTACTTGGAGGTGTGTCTGCCAACGTACATCCATTGCCGGTTCATCTACGTGCATTATATATAATTAAGTGTGTCAAAAACCATTACAGAACATCATGAATAGATAATTAAGTAACCAAATTAATAGAAGTTCATCATCACATTAAAACCAAAGTACATACATAGTTCTCATCTAACAACATATTGCTCTCTAGAGCATCTAATTAATTAAACCATACATTGAAACTATGTAAAACATTTCAATGTGAAAACAAATGCGATCATAATCGCAACCAACGGCATAATGATACCAAGCCTCGGTATGAATGGCATATTTTCTAATCTTTCTCATCTTCAACCGCATTGCATCCATCTTGATCTTGTGATCATCGACGACATCCGCAACATGCAACTCCAATATCATCTTCTCCTCCTCCTCAATTTTTTTATTTTTTCCTTCAAGTAATTGTTTTCTTCTTCAACTAAATTTAACCTCTCGACAATAGGGTCGGTTGGAATTTCTGGTTCAACTACCTCCTAGATAAATAAAATCTATGTCACGTTGGTCGGCATAATTGTCATAAACAATAAATGAACCAAATAGTTATAAAAAGATAATATATACCACATCCGAATCATAGCCAGGACGGGGGCCGACGGGGGCGGATACCAAAACCATCGGACTATATAATAACAAGCAATAATAAAAGTAAGAAAATTAGACAAGTATCTATCTAGCTAAAGTAAGATTTTTTTCTTTCAGAAAGAAGATAAGAACAAGAGGCTCACCACGGTGGTGCCGGCGACGAGATCGGTGCGGGCGATCCACGGCGGTGAAGACGGGAGTGGGACGTGGCGGGCCGCTAAACCTAGACAAATCTCGAGGAAAATGGAGCTTTGAGGTCAAGCTTCGTGAGGAGAAAGCTTAACTAGTGTGGCTCGGGCATTTCATCGAACACCTCATGTGCATAGGAGGTGAGCTAGAGCACCACAAAGCTCTCCTCTCGCCGGCCAGAAAAAACAAAGCAGTGTGGAGTGCTCTGCTCACCGGTGAGTGGGTATATATAGGCACCTCATTGGTCACGGTTCGTGGCATGAACCGGTACCAAAGGGAAGCCTGTGGTCCCGGTTCAAGCCACCAACCGGGACCAATGGTGGTGGGCCAGGAGCGAGGCCCATTGGTCCCGGTTCGTCCCACCAACCGGGACCAAAAGGGCATGACGAACCGGGACCAATGCCCCCACGAGGCCCGGCAGGCCCTTGGCCTCACGAACCGGGACAGATGGCCCCATGGGTCCAGGTTCTGGTCTGAACCGGGACTAATGGGCCACCTCGGCCTGGACCAAAGCCCTGTTTTCTACTAGTGACATGTTCATGTTACTACTTTATGTTATTATCTCTATAGTGGAGAGTAACATATGTGTGGTAACATGCAACACTTTATTTATTAGGCTATAGACACATCTTGTCTTGATATGTGTCATGTTACTCATACTAGTAGTAACTAGCTATGTTACCACTTTCCTCTTTTTCTTCATTTATTGCTTGCCACATCATCTATTTTATCTAGATATGTGTGATGTTATTATCTATGTTACTCCCACTGTAGGTAGTCTAAGGTAGCGAAGAAGATGAGGGATTGGGATGGGAAACGTCGGTAGTAGATGCTTGCAACTTGCAACGCGATATGTGCGCTGGTTCAAACATTAATGGCATGCGATATAAATGGGCCAACTTGTTTACCGCTGGAAACAAAATGCAAGAGGGTGCATGCTGCGTACAAATGGAAATCAAAGGCATGATGTGGCACATCCAGATGTTTAGAGTTGAACAATTGTTTTCATGGTGATGATGTGGGGTCATTAGGATCAGTTTTTGCTGAAGTGGCACATCGCTGATGTGGACAATGTGCATGGTGAGAGAATAGGGAGTAGTGGGGAGCAACTTCTTAAGAATCGTAGATGCCATAGTCTTAATGATAAAAAATGCCATCATCACAATAATAAAAAAGACATGCTCTTATTAGTAAAAACTACAATATCGGTAAAACAAAACTGTCATCCTCTCAATAATAAAAATGTCACCCTCTTATAATAAAAAATGCCATCCTCTTAAAATAAAACTGCCCCGTGAGAAAGTTTAAAAAAATATTACTTTTGGGATGAATTAAAAAACTTCAAAAATGCAATGTTGTATATAAATATACATTTTAAGAGAAATTTTCGCAAGCCTGCTCTCGAGCCCAGTGGTTAGAGTACCACGCTCGACGCGAGAGGTCGGGAATTCGAATCCTCCCCTGTGCCAGTGTTATGTATTTTTGAAAAAAAAACAAGAGTTTGCCGGGAAAAGCCACACAACGAATGCGTTACACATTTTTGGAGAAAGAAAAACAAGAGTTCACTAGGAAAAGCCAAACAGCGAATGCCTCCAGCCATCCGACGTGGTGTTGCCCCTTGTGTTGGGGTGCGTGTGCCTTCGCTAGGGTCACCCTCCTTGAGAACATTCATCAGTTATAATTTTCGAAGAAGATTTCAACACCTCATGCTCATAACAAGGCGGATCGAGCCATAGTATCGGTTGTTGTATGTTGTTACATGTGTCCAATATATGTAACTTCTCTTTTAGTGATTGGATGGAGAGGATGGGAGGCTCCATGTCAAGTTATTCCATTTGTTGGTCCTTGGTGGTAGCAAAAAAGAAAGCACTGATGTGTAGCGTTGCACAGGGAGGATCATCACCGCCACGACTCCATCTACACATACACTCAAGGAGGTGACACACTTGCTCTTCAAGATCCAGCGTCCAATGGGATTTTGTGAGCGGGAACAACGGTGGAAGCCTCACGGCATCAGATGTGAAAGGGGTGAGGAAGCAAGATGATGGCGATGTATGGAGCATCCTATTGTTGTGGAAGAAATAGGTCGTCGACCAAATAAGCGACATGGTGGCCAGTCAAGAGAGGGCACGGGATGCGAACGAAACATCCGGCTGAGTGGTAAAAGATGTGTCTCTTGATATCGCCGGGGTGAAGGTCGTTGCCCTCGGGCAGCATCATCTACTGTCATGGGTGAAAGCGTGAGCCGATGATGCCACAGGCGCGTGGGTAGCCTGAGATCATTTTTGTCCTCCTCCTTGAGATCATTTTTTTTTAGTGAAGACAACGAATTAAATAAAAGAAGAAATGATGGGAGCTTGAGTTGGGCCTGATCTACAGCATCCACTCCCTAATGGGCCTACCATCTGGCCCGTCCAACATTCTCTCTGAGTCGTGCGTGCTCTCTGTGATTAGGACAAAAAAAAAAAGAGGTGCGTGGGTAGGAGAAAAAAGAAAGAGCGGCCGCCGGCGAGAGAGGCGGAGGGGGGAAGAAAGGTGCGGCCTTTCTTGCCTAAAATTCCAGCGGCGGAGGCGAATCCAAGGAGGAGGAGGAGGGAGCCGCCCCTGCCCAGCTAAATCCTCGTCGTTCGCCTCCCCGATCGCCATTTCCCCCCTTCCGCGCGAGAGATTCGTCCTCCGATGCAGGCCGCCGCCTCGTGGAGCAAGGGCCTCCCCGGCCTGCGGAGCCACCTCTGCGCCGCGGCGTCGTTCCACTCCACGCCCCCCTCCCCCGCCAAGTGGAAGGGCAAGTTCGATTGCAAGGTCCGGCCGCCTCCTTCAATCCCCCTCTTTTCCCATTTCCAGCGAATCCTTCCACGACCTAGTAGGTAGCTAGCTACTGTGGATGCTTGTGGTTAATAATCAGTGGATGGAAAATAGATCGATCAAACTTGGCAACAGTTTGGTGATCACTCACTGTTATCTTTCGTGTCCATACAAACTGGTCAATTGGAAGCTGTAGTAGATGCACATTTCAGTAGATAGATGGTGCTGGTAGATGCTGATTTCTTCCGCAACAAATAGTTTTGAGTTCTGAGGCTAAGCATCCGGACACGATTCTAGGTGGACGGACACTTGAATGCCAAAGTCTGAATCATGGACCACAAACTTCTTGATTGGTTTCGGCCGATGGTTTCCAGTAGGATAAGCATGAACGACGAAGCTCCATGTGCACATCTGGGGTGTCCTCAACCAATTAACCTGCTGTGCTGTGATTTCAGTTCCTATTTCAACTAGTTCTAGCCTGTAAAGGACCCTGATACATGCACATTTGGCAATTAATTTGTTCTTGGTCTCGGTAGGGTTATCCATATGCTTTACAAGTTACAACATCACCCCTGTTCATGTTCTTCTCATATATGTGCAGCATGAACATGGAGAACGGAAGCTATCCAAGGTATGCCTCGACACATCTCTCAGCTGTAATCCGTACTGGCTGGGAACATGAGCACCATTAATGTCAAACATACTTGAAGCACAGTAGCTCAAAGCAGCAGTTTAACTTCATGTCTGATGCAACTTGCAAGATACGTCAGTAACTATGGTCGGTATAGTATTAGTAGGGACTGCAAGTTAATTATACTAAGATAGTAAAGTGCATTTTGCTTGATATTTTCCTCAGGGTGCTTGCATTCTCATACAGTTGCATAGAGCTCTTGGTAATGGTTTTCTAGAAACTTGGTAGCACATAAGGTTTTATTTATAGCTAGATACCAGAATTTGATCTCTCAGAATGTAATTGAGCACCTCTAGCTGTGTTATGCATTTGTTTCACTGCCATGTTTTTAGTAGCCAAAGCAAACTCAATGAGTCAATTCATCACGCAGAAAGAAAACAGTTATAGGTTTGTACTTGATGCTTTATTTAGTAGCTGCCTTACCTTGATTAGGTAGCATCGACAATGGTGATTTTGAGATAGTTCTAATGGGTAATAACTCTTCAACAGAAATATGAGCGATACGTTGTTCGTCAAAAACGAGCAGAAGGAAAGAAGGCCCTGAAAAATTACCTTCTGTATGGAAAGTCAACACCTCATATACAGGTGAAATTTCTATTTGAGTTGTCATATGGACTTTCTTATCCTTCCTTCATTGGGATAATTAAGGCAAAAGTTTATTTCTGCAAGCATAAGAGTTGGCAGAAAAGAGAAAACATCCACCATCCATTTATTATTGCTTGTGTACCTGAAGTCTACAGTGCACTTGTATTCCTCTAGGATGGAAGTATGGGCAGCTTTGCTAATTCGCATGATATTCCACGATTCAAAACGTTCAGAAAAAAACAGGATCACAGTTCAACAAAACCTCGACAAGGAGTACACCATCAAAGAAAGGGTATGGTTCTATCTTAGCACAGTAGGTCCATGTTTTGCTCTGCTGCCTTGGGAATATCCATGTAGTTATCTAGCGTTTCATGGTCTGTTATTGCCGTTTCTGCATATCTTACATAGTTACATCTGAGGATATGATTTATTTACACGGAGAAGTTCCAAGGGCAAACAAAACTTCTACAGCCTACAACTCAACTATATGAATTCTGATCCTTTGTGATGACAGTGTTTTGTGCTGCTTAATGATAGTTTTGTTGAACTTTCATGGATTATATATAGCATGGATCTGTGATGCTGGCCATCCAGATCACTTCATTGAAGTAGCTATCACATCGTAATACTATGAAAGTTTGACGAGGATGTTCTTTTTTGTAGACAAAAAGGACAAGGCGAAGTTCTACAACTTTTTCTACGAAACCCGTTATGTGAATCCTGAAAATATTTTTGAGACCATCTTTGGTGAGCATCACCAGAGTTTTACCTGGTCCCATGCTTCATGGGAGGGTTTTCACTTCAGAGCTTCAGCGTTTGGATTCAGACGGGCTGGTGAATCACGAAGACAAAGAGTTGAAAGCGAGAGCGAAGATGAAAGTGACGACGACGACGACGCCTGTGACACAGCCGGCGTTGGCTCACATGCGCACAGGCTCACCCTTGGATTGCCACCTCGTGGTCCACTAACCCTAGATGATGTCAAAACAGCGTGAGATTCCGTTTCGTCCTGCCTCCTCAAATTGTTGCTTGTCTCTGCCACCGTTGCAAAATGTTGTTTACCACTCACTCCGCTGGTGTTTACCCGATTTACTCCGTGCAGCTTCCGCGCGTCTGCTCTCAGGTGGCACCCTGACAAGCACCCAGGCTCTTCACAGGTAACCGACCCGATCGACTCTGAGGTGGTTTCGAAGTTGAACCAACAACAGATGCAACACTAGTTCAGTGTTGGTCACATGTCAACTTGCGAAAACACATATGCTAACAGAGGACATGTCCATTCCCTACATTTGTGTTGTGCACAGGCCGTAGCCGAGGAGAAGTTCAAGCTGTGCGTCAATGCGTACAACTCGCTCTGCACCGTCCTGAAGGCCGCGTGATAAGCCTCTTCCTTCCTCCACGCGTGGTGTTCTGAAGCTTGAGAACGCTATCAGCTGACCTCACTCGAGCGCGTGAATTTGGCAAGAAAATCGTTCCATCTCTTGCGGGGAGTTGGGGCTCCTGAACTGGAGCTAGAGCTCTCTTCCCCGCATCTGTTGTTTGTTCCTTTCTTGAGTATTCGTTTTCTTTAACTAGAGATTTGAGCCAACAGAGCCAAGCTCCCAACATGATGGAAGGAGATTATGTTGTAACATGTAGCCGCACAATCATATTTACTACCATTGCAAGCTGTAACAACAAATGATGGCTATTTCATTTCATCTCTTGATTTCGAAAGGGGAAACAAAATAAACTTGTCTGAATGCAACAAGCAGCGAGATGAAAGCTCCCCTGTTAGTATTTTCCAGTGTTGCTCTCAGATGAGATGTGATTCTTATCTTAGCGTAGTGCACATTTTAGATAGAGGAAGATCTCAGATAGTACAACAATTATAGATGTGTGATGCGATGTGATTGACACGGACAGTTGCGTTATGATGAATTGATGATTAGGCCGGCCAGAGTGAAAGCAAAGCAAAGCAGAGTTGGTCAGAATCATGGCCAACGAAGATCCTTGACATTAATGAATGTTGGTAGGCAGGCAAACAGATGTCACTCACTCTTGGTGCTGCTGTCTGTAGGACATTGTTTCTGGGTGCTGCTTGCTTGCTAATGGTGGAACACAGCACAGCACAATCGATTCGATTCTACTAGTAATCCTGATGAACAGAAGAAGCAGAGAGGAGGAGGAGGAGGAGGAGGAGAAGGTAATGGTGGTAGCTAGGCTAGGGGTAGGGCTAGAAGCAGAGGACTGCGACGGCGGCGGCGACGGAGAAGGCGAAGGTGGCGATGAGGAAGGCGAAGTGGATGGCCCAGCTGCGCTTGAACTTGGCGAGGTAGGTGTCGTGCGGCTCCTGGTAGGGCACCTCCACGTCGGCGGCCGCCACCACCTCCCCCGCCGACTTGAGCATCCGCAGCCGGTCCGCCGCCAGCGCCAGCGTCAGCTTGTGGCACCGCCGCTGGTACCTATATATTGCAATTGGACCATCCATCCATTGTTACTCAACCAGATCGAATCGGAAATCGGAATCGATTGTAGTTGCAGCACAAGAAAGAAAGAAAGAAAGAGGCAAGGACCTGAAGCCGTTGAGGCATCGGAGGTGGTGCGCGACGGCGGCGTAGAAGGCGAGGTGGGCGAGGGAGAGGAGGCCCGCGGGGGCCCAGAGGTGGCGGCACTGGAGGCGGCCCCCGCCGGAGACGGCGGAGAGGACGAGCGCGAGGAAGAGGAAGAAGGCGAGGAAGAGGCGCCAGAGCTCCTGCTTCTGCGCGTCGGCGCTGCGCTTCTTCTCCACCGTCTTGTCGAAGTGCAGCTGCACCACCGCCCCCAGCGCCTGCGCCGCCGCCTCCCGCGCCACCACGTCCACGCCCCCTCCCGCGTAGGAGGAAGCCGCCTCCCCCTCCCGCGGCATCGTCACCAGCCGGTGGTGCTGCCCGTGCCGATCCATCGTCAGTCAGTCAGTTGACTCGGAGGGATTGGAGGTCGGGAGGGAGGAGTATTTTACTCGCTCGCGGCCGGAGCTCGGGTACTGAGACTGGGACTGAGATTGGGAGCTGGGCAGTGGAGTGGAGTGGTGAAGTGTGAAGGTGGGGAGTGAGCAGTGGCGCTTTTGCTTGCTTGTCCATGGGCAGAGGTAAAGCTGATGCTTTTATTTTATTTACGCCATGGCCATGGCCATGGGTGGATCATTGGATGCTTCTTGCACTGGACTGGAGCGTGACCAATCATAATGCACCGTGGCGAGTTACTGGTAAACATTTCACTAGCTGTCAAGTAATTAGAATATTACAGTAGATGGAGGAGATTAAAGGAGACGGAGAAGAGAAGATTCACAGAAGGGCAGCGTCAGCGTAGCAGGGATGGGATGGGCATGGCACGTGGTGAACCATCTCTCTCTCTCTCTCTCTCTCCCTCTCTCCTCGGTGACTGTGACCACTGAGAATGCATCCATCCATGTGTACAGTGGACGACGCTTGCTGCTCCGTTAAGAGCAGCTAACTGAATAATGCAGGATGCAATTCATCTGAGTGTAAACGTCCGTTGCAGATAAACTACCAACTGAAATGGAAAACGCCGGGTGGAGCTAAACGGCTCAAATGTAGTAGGGCATCTCCAGCCGCGCCTTCAGGAAGGTCTCCCCAGGCGATTTTTTCACGCCGGCGCCAAAAAAAGCCCAGTCACGCCCAGGAGTTCGATTTTCGCCGGCCTGGGCCGAAAACAGAGTCGGCGGACCCAGACCGAACCCGGCGCACTGGGGGGCGCCCGGGGGCGCCGGGGCGAGCTGTTTTGGCGCGAAAAAGCCACGGACCAGCCGCGTCAGCGACACGGCGCCTCGTCTTCCTCCAACGGCCTCGGTTCCCGCGAGGAATCAATGCCAAGGCTGCCGCCGGTCAGCCTTGCCATTGATTCACGGGTGGCGCGTCACGGCACGGCGCACCGACGCCTCCCCTCCCTCGCACGCGTACACACGGGTGCGGCGCGGCTATATAGCCGGTGGCCTACACTCACCTGTGCCCACACCAGCCCGTCCCTCGCCGCCGCCCAGCCCCTCCCTCTCCCTACCTCTCCCGAGCGCCGCCGCCCAGCCCCTCCCTCTATCTCTCTACCTCTCCCGAGCCCGTCGCCATGGCGGAACGCTTCCCCGGAGACGAGGCGGCGGCCAACGGCTTCGGCCGCCGTTCGCTCCGCGAACAGGAGTCCTGGCTCCTATTCCAGGCGAACATCCCGGCGCCGCCGAACATGCGCGTCGGGCCGACGGGGTGGAGACTCAGCGCCGGGGGAGTGCCGATTCCCCCGTTGCCCGACGCCGTGGCGAAGCCGAAGTACTTCGCCGAGGAAGTCGAGGTCGTGCGCGCCTCCCTCACCGACGCCCAATTCTCCCTTCCCCAGTACGCCGCCGACAACCACGCGGCTTGGGCGGCATATTTCGAGCGCCGCCAGCAGCAGTGCTTGGCGTCCACCAACGGCGTGCCGGTGGTCGGCGGCCGGCAGAACAGCGAGGGGCGCCACCTGTGGTGGGGCATCCCCGGCCGCACACTCGAGGTCGTGCTGACGTACCTCGAGGGCGGCAACGACCCGCCGTTGGCGTACCCGGCGAGGGCGGCCGCCCCGGCGTAGCACCGACGCGCCGGGCCATGGGCGCCAAGGAGGTTCGGGTCCTCCTCCTCTTCTTCCTCCTCCCGATCTTCATCGCACTCCTCCGGCACTCCGGCCCAGCTCGGCGTCAAGGCCGAGCCCGCGGCGGAGACGCCGCTCGGCCGGCGCACTCGCAGCGCCGGCATCGTCATCAACGAGGGCGGCCGGCGCGCCTACTCGTCGGCTCCTCCTCCGCGCTTCGTCCAGCCAAAGACGGAGCCGGGGCTCGCGCCGGTGACGACGGAGCTCGACGATGACGACGCGGCCCTGGAATGGGCGCGCAGGGACTCCATAGCGATGGAGAAGGAGCGCCTGGAGAAGGCGAAGGAGCGCCAGTGCGCCGCCCTGCTTCGCTTCGCGGAGCGTCGACGCGGCCGCGACGAAGGCGGAGTCGTCATCATCTACGACAGCGACGACGACGACGATGCGCCGCCACCAGTCCGCCATGGCGACGCCGGGCAGGGGTCCAGCAGGGGCGCCCGCGTCAAGGAGGAGAAGGCCGACGACGACGGCGGCGGCGACGGCGGTGACTTCAGCCAGTTTTTCCTCTTGATTAGTTTATGTATATGTGCTATGTAATGAAAATCCGCGAACTTCGCCGAAATGTGCCGAAATTTATCGTGTTTGGCCGAAATTTATCGTGTTTAAGCCGAACTTTGCCGAACTTCTTTTATTTTAAAACGTGCCTGGGGGCGGCCCCGGGGCTGGCGGCTGGGGACCAACTCGCCCCCAGGCCCAATTTTTGCGCCGGCTCACCCCCAGGCGGCGATTTTAGGCGCCCCCTGGGGGGCCAACGGCTGAAGATGCCCTTAGGGCATCTCCAAGGGCGACCCAAATCGGACACACTAAAAGCATCTCCAACAGCCGCGCCAAACTAGCGCCGCACCGCAAAATTACCCGTTTTAGCGCGCGCTCAACCGGTATAGTTGCTCCGACGGGCGCGCAAAAACAGTGTGCGCGGCATATGTAGTTCAGCGTGCGGGCCGAAACTCAATCGTGCGCCGCTTATTTGCTGCGCCCGCTCCCGCGCGTTGGACTCTCGCGCGCTCGCTCGCAACTCCCACCCCCATCCAGCCGCGCCGCCGCCGCCGGC